GCCGCCGACCCCAGTCTATTGTACGTAGCCGGTTATTTCTTGTAATTTTTGCTATTGTATTGGCTTGTCTGAACGCTATGGCTATATTATGTATGGGTTCGAATGATGCATAGAAGCGTGTCTCGAGTCATTGATTTTTGGTTCGATCACGTGCTGACAAAATGAATTGTGATGATATCGCAGGTTGTACACAGCTGTACGAAATGACTAAAAAATCTAACAATTCTTAAACGGGCTCTGCTCTCTGTGCGTCGTGCGGGTAGCAGGACGGCCAGTCCCGGGTGCCGATGTTGCGGGTTTTCTTATCCTGGCTTGACATCCGTCCTGGTTGTCTCGAATGACGCTGAGAGAGGGTCACAAGCCGAGCGTTCCGGAACGACGCGCTCCCTCGAGCTGCGAGCGCACAGAGACGCGCCGCCACGCGACCGACCGCGTCAATGCAGGCCCGGAGCGGGTGCAGACAGTGTCAGCATGCGGTCTGATGCCGGCCGGTGGTGCAGCGCGCTGCTCCGCGCGCATAGTGCAGGCACTACAGCTTCGCATAACCACCAGGAGCACTCGTGTGGAGTCCCTTCACCCTTCTTGGGATGAACCACCGATCCGCGGACAGCCGGTCTACGCCACGACTTCTGCATGTGGGGTTTCGTCTGCACCGGTTGCAGCACTGAAGCGCGGGAGAAGAAAGGAGAAGGAACGGTTTGTTTGGATGAAGTAGGTACAGATCTTGGCCACTTCTCCAGTTCTGGCTTGCCACTGCAAGCTATCCCGTGACGTTTCTTTCATCCCATTGGATTGTTTCCACTTAAGAAAAATCGAAATTTCGTGATGCATGTTTACCTATGCCTGCCTATGCCTGCGATCTGTTCTCGCGATCTGTAACCTAAGAAAGCACGCCATGTTCTTTTATTACGGCGATCCCTAAAACACCCCGCCTTGGTGGGACTGGACTAGATATTCTTGTGGGCATGCGTGAGCTATTCTGAGCTCACTTTCACGAGCGTGCTCGACTGGCTTAATCACGATCTTCCAGCGTATGCGTACGAAAACAATCGCGGCGACTCGCTGAGCAATCAAGCCCGCGCGCCGCCACACGCACTGGTTACCCCCAGCAACGAGCCCTGGCAGTCGCCAGTGTCGCCACTTCCGCCCCGGCGCGGGCGCCACCTATTTGCGTGTCCTCCATCGTTCAAAAGAAGCGGGAAACATGGTTCCATGCAATGTTCGCACCACACGGATTAACAGTCTGGGTCACACCTCCGAGGTGGCCGAGCCCCCCGCGGGCGGGAGACAGGGCGCAAGCGCGATACATGGGAGGGGGGCGACCTCCCGGAGTGCGGGTGAGGCGAATGGAGTTGGTAGAAAGCCGACACCGCGGACGAGCCCACGGGCGTTTTCACGCCTCAGTCTTGCCCATCGGATGTATCTGTCACCCCAGGAGTATCGTGCTGCCGACTCCAGCGGGTTCTGGTGCACGACCACGCTTCGCCGTCCCACTTCCCTCCGAATTCGGCGGTTCAAAACACCGCGCTTCTCAACAGTCGCCGATGAACGACATAGGCGCAGTCACTTACCACGCGCTCGGGTGGAGGGAGGGTCAATTTGACCCCCCTCCCCCTCTCCCGATGGTATTTCCAAAATTGTTTCCGAACGGCGCGGCGCAGCCGTGCCAAATTTGGCATAGCTGTAGACAACTGAGTAGCGGATCGCTTGACCTAAAAATTTAGGTGTACCTTGTAAGGTTGCTGACCGATGGCATGTCAAAGTGAGGCCACGGTTTCAGCGAAGGCAATTTCTAGGGAATCATTCAATCTGAGGCAGCAACGGGATGTTTGACGAAGCCTGATTATTTGTGATATGGTTTCTCAGGTAAAACAAGTATTGAATGAGCTAATTACGTTGACCTAAGGTCAAGTATGGAGGTCAGACCAAGGTCAAAACCGATCTGTTTTATTACTGTAAGGCTTGCTGTATGGGATAGTTTGTGGTGCTCATTTCGAATTTATTAATGGCGGGAACCGCATTATACACCTTTCATTGACTTGTAAGAGGTCAGAATAGGTCATTGACCTGAGATGACCCAGGTCGACACTTTGTTGTTAGGAGCATACCACCTGGCGTAATCTTTGTGGCTTATTCAAATGCAAAACTCACAGCAGTCTTGTATGATTTTGTCACCAGGACATTCAAAAGGTCAAATAAGGTCACTGACCTCAAATAAGCTTGTGGCCTTTTGCTTAGATACATTTATCTAGGTTCTGGGGGCGCTTTGGAGACCATTTTGGAATTTGACCTTGTTTGACCTTATTTGACCCGAGGGTCATGGCATAGGGATATCAAACTTTGACCTAAGTGAGTTCATGTACAGGTCGACACACCCTGCAAACTCGGTACCTCTAGCTTCCTCAGTTCCCGAGATCTCAGGGAGGGTCAAACTGGACCCCGTCTCTACCCGAGCGAAGGGTATCTAGCCGGCCACCCGGACGCGTGTTAAAGTACTACCTACTCACTTCTCTTAGGCCCAGTACGATAGAAAAACACCCAATCACCATGACGGTACGAAAACTCATTTCCTCCACTCCTTTGGGTGTAGTTTTGTTGTTGGAAGAACGGGCTGGAGCTCCCGTCCCAACTTTGGTGAAGAGAAGGGTCGAATCCATCGGGAAATCCGCTTATGTGCATTTTGTGGATATGCTGCGTCATTTTCTCCTGCTTCCCTCTCTTTCAGCACATTTTGCAAAACTACGCCTGTGTCCGAATAACCAGAATCTTTAGGCCTTTCCCACTGATATCAATCACGTTAGTTTTGTGTTTGGATTGGCTTCACACAGCATGGGTGTTTCAAGGGATTCATAATGCACACGCAGGTACACTGCCGATGCAGTCTCACAGCAGATACCGTCCGCTGTACTGCGGCCGTCCTGTGCACCCGGCTTCCCCTCTCTCCAACTTAAAATGCCGGAGATTACGAAACCGCGTGCCGCCGCGCGGGTGACGAGAGCCAGATGATGGCACAAAATAATTGAGACTTTTAGTTGACATCGTATTTATGTCCCTAAGCAGCAGCTTTCCTCCAGAATACCTTCAAATTTGTCAGGTCCCATGCTGCCCCGTCCGAAAGCATCACGATCCGCCCAGTCCTGTCTGATCTTGGCCTGTTCCGCCCCGTTTTTTATGGTTCCGTCTGATCCCGTCTTGTCCCGTTCTGTCCCGCCGCTTCCTTTCGGTCACGTCCGGTGATGTCCGATGCTGTCTGACCGCGTCCGGTCACGCGTGGTTTCGTCTGGTGCCGTCCGGTTCGATCCGGTCCCGTCCGGTTCCTTCTAACCACGTCCGGTGACGTCCGATGCTGTCTGACCGCGTCCGGTCACGCATGGTTTCGTTTGGTGCCGTCTGGTTCAGTCCGGCCCCGTCCCACCTGGTCCTATCTGTCCCGTCCGGTTCCACCCGATCTGGTCGCATCTCGTCTGTCCTCGTCCGGTCCCTTCTGGCGTTCTGGTCCCGCACGGCGCCGCCCGCTCCTGTCGCGTCTTTCCAATACCAACTAGCTTCACCCGTCTCCACTCGCCGTGTCCACAACTTTATCTACCTCCCGTAGCAGGCGCCAACTCCTGATAACTGTCATGTTTTAGATCATTTGGAACACTGGTGTTTCTACATGCATAAGTTGACCGTCATCCCTATGTTTGGACTGATTCCACTTCTACTCTAAACCCTGTCGACTTTCATTCGACGTTTCATTCTTTCGACTTTTTGTCCTTAGACTTTTTCCGATTCGATTTTTTACCGATCGGCTTTCATCCCGGTAGACTTTTTGTCCTCCGTCGTTTTCTGATTCGACGTTAATACGCGTCGATTTTTATCCCTTTCAACTTTTTGCCGTTCGATTTTTTGTGCGACATATTTCCATTCGACTTTTTGTCCGAGAACATCTCCACCATAGAGCCCAATCCAAGTTTTATCAGGGTGGGAGCTAGGCATAACATAGTATAGTTACGTCCCTGGAATTTGGTGCCCCTTATGAACGAAGGTTTGGGGCCCTTTGTGGTGCCCTCTGGAATTGGGTCCTTCTTGGAAATTAAAGTTATGGTGACTCGAACTGAAGGCTTCTTCGCCCCCTAGCCGATTAACCCGATCCAGGATTTCGTCGAGAGACACGCTCCGTAGGTGATGGTGACCCCGGAATTTGGTGACTTAAAATAAAGATCCGGGCCTTTTGTCGTGCTCCTGAAATTCGGTGGTTCATGACAGTACTGATTATGTGGTTCCGTAGTGATGGTTTTGGTGCCTCTTCGGGGAACAGAAACTACGTGGAGCTCAATGTGGCATCGTCCCCTGCCCACCATCGGATCTGGACCGGCGCCTGCATTGTGATGCCCCTGGCATTGTGTGTCGCCGGAAAATAATGTGATGCCGGAAATTAAGGATTTGGTGCCTCTTCGTGGAACGGGCCGATCCAGTATTTCGAAAAAGCGAAAGGCACATAAATTGTATCGTACCACTGGATTTGGTACCCATTTAAAACCAAAGTTTTGGGCCACTTGTATGGGCCGCCCCGACAAAGTGTATCTTGAAAACAAAGGTTATGTTACCCGAAATAAAGGTTTTGGTGCATCCGGGACTATGCGGCCAATCAAGGATTTTGTCAGAGTGAAAGGCTCAATATTACACTATCCCTGGAATTTACAGCCTCTTGAGGATGAAAGTTTGGGGCTCATCGTATTGCCCCTGGGCTTCGGTGCCTCTGGAATATGAAGAATTTATGTCATTTGAGGGCCTCTTGGAATTTGGTGCCCTAAAAGTCATGTGGACCAAAAACAAAGATTTTGGTGCCCCTTCACCGTCAGCCGGGCATCCAGACATCCGTCACCGTCCCTTTGTAGCAGGATGGTTCCCACCTTCGATCCAGAGCAGTCTTCATCCAGCAGGCGCTCCTCAGCACCCAGAGGATAATGTGGACACTTCAAAACTGGCGTGACTCAGATACCCTAGCATCCGGACATCGTATTTGGTCAGTTTTATTAAATCAAACAGCATCGGAAAATAGCACGACACTTAAACGCATCGAAAAAGCATAGAATGCAAGCATCTACTGGATGCACATACGTTCTTCGCAATGTTACCATATCACCTTAGTGTCGACTCTCATAGCCTGCTTGGACGCCCCAAGACGATGCGGCCGATCTAAGCTGTAATCGGAGTTCCATTTCACGACAATCAACCGCATAAGCTCAAGTCACAATACACTATGTTTCGCCAACCAGCCCACTGTTAGCACGGATCTGCCCCAGCGGAGTCATGCACTGCCGCTTACGCTAGACACGCCGGTGTTCAGGCCGCCGCCCAGCCGGGCCGCATGGCGCGTGCCAGGCATGTGGAGCTGTGCGGGGATGGTCCTCAGCGCTCAGTTGGTCACAGTATGGCTCCGGTTAATCGTTTCTCGGATCCCCAACGCCGCACATACAGCGTTCGTGGTGCCACGGGCTGCGAAGCTGGCCCACTTCTCGAACTTTGCGGTAGGTAGAAAATGGTGGCTTAGCCCTCGCACTCGTGGGGGTGGGGAGCGGGGAGAAGGATCTCCTATTTCCTGTTCGGGAATGCCTGGTGATGAGGCATCGGAGTGAGTTCCTTGCATGATTCCCTTTATACCTGATCTATGGATTATGTTTCTTTTCCGTCGGATTTTACGTCAATCTAAATTGCACTTTGATGCATTCCTTTGATCATAAATACATTTATACCAAGTCCGGGTACTATAACCTCCGGGTACCGCAGAAAGACAAACATGGATCAACGACATTAACTGATTCTAAAATGGAAGATAAAACTGAGGATTTCTTTAAATCTGTTCTGACATCGCGCACGGCTGCAGCCGGCCAAAGAAACATTACGTTTGATAAGACACTTCCCGCTCAAAGGAAACGACAGATGACCTCGACGCCGTATTTTTACCTGCATTCAGCATCCTCGGTTCATCAAATCGTGTGCCGCGCGTGGAGCACGCAGTCCTCAATGCATATCAGACGGATAAATCTAAGATATGAGCTCAAGAGGCTCAACTTGTTGGGTACCCCATATAACGGATAATGTCAGCCGATTTGATGTGATATTGACACTGACCTCAGACAGCAAACTGACATTTCTTAAATATTTTAAAGCGTGACATGACTATTCAATGACGTTTTGTTCGTCTTAAGTCATTCCTAATTGCAAGGTACCAGGGAGAGGCTGAACTTATCCCCCCTCCCCACATGAAGGCAAAATTTGCGCGGACCACCGACAGCGCAAGGGTTAAACGCCATGGTGACGTATGAAGCGGCACTGGAAGTCAACAATGGCCACTGACAACGGACCAATGAGAAGCGACGGCGGGCCAGTGGCCAATGACGACAGACCAATGGCCACTAGCGACGGACAAATGGCCCCTGACGACGGACCAATGGTCACTGACAACGGATCAATGGGACGTGACGGCGGGCCAATGGCCAATGACGACGGACCAATGTCCACTGACGACGGACAAAAGGCCACTACCTCGCTCACCGACGGAGCGTGGTAGCCTGTTCGCTGATTCACAACGAAAGCTCACAACGGCTGATCACTGACGGCCTTGTCGTCGCTGTTGGGTTCCGAGTAGTCTTCGAAGCCTTCGTTGTCCTGATGACTTGGAGACCTGTTGTTCTCTGGCTCCACCACTGTGGTCGAGATGCTGGGGATGACCGGGTAGAGGCGGCCGGGGGGCTTCTTTCTGAATTCGACGTCGCTGAGAGAGAGAGAGAGCCTTGTGTAATAGTCGCGAATAAAAGTCATGGCCCTTCTTCACTCCTGTTTAAGCAACCGGAAATAATGACAGGCCACGAGTCCTGGTGTTTCGGCTTCAGGATTTGGGAGTTCTTACGCTCGCGTTATTCGACTTCCTATTCACCAGCACGTGCTGGTTGAATGACATCATTAGTCTAGCAGTGATTATACGGCAGAACTCGACGATTCATCCTGTTCTCATGGATGCGAATCATAGTCACCTGTGACCATGAAGACAGGTAGTAACGTCGAGTCAGTTGCAACATAACCATTGCGCCCCTCATAATGTCATGTAACCGTATTTAACCATTTAACCAATGTTTTCGTTTCTGATATGTTGCAGGTCGATCATTGCTAGCGTAGCGCAGGTCAACACATTTATCATTGAATATGGCAGCATAATTGGCTCACATCTATCGTTTCGTAAGGGTGTTGATCTTCTCCATGAGTGGTCCTTTAATCGCCAAAGTCTGCTTTTAGTTGCAACACATCACTCCCCCTAGGCATGTTAACATCCGGACAGTCACACATATATACACGGATAACAAAGAACAACAACAGAAAATAGGTTGCTTTAACAGCTTGTGATCAGATAAGGAAGGACAGTTTGGTAAAGGCTAATGTAGGTGGACAGTTTGCATAAATTTGGGAGAAGGTTGGGAATAAAATTCAAGGCAAGTATTATACTCGTTTTTACCACATGCCGGAAAGATACCGAATTCATCAATTAAGATAAACGTGTCGTTGAAAATAACTTCGTCGGTATTGAAACATGTAACAAACCGTCACACCTTCTGGGTAGATTTCATAGCCTTTTCCTGCCAAGAGCCCACGCCTCAGAAGTCTGGCGACGAACAAGTTTGAGTCTCAACCTTCGCTGTTGAAGTCGTTCAATGTGCCGTACGAGCTTAACTGTAGTACCTGCGATTGGACACACCGTCCAAGCTCCGCCTGCATTGGTTACACTGTAACTACCCTGAACAGATGGACGGTACCGCATCAATGAAGTGGTGCTGTCTTCCTCTGAGAGCCAGTTAGTACCGATGAAGTGAGCAGATTTATTACATACTCGCAAAAACGGAGCACTGTAGCGCATTCAGTCCTCATGATAATGCGTGGTTTGTCATCATTGTACTCAAACTTTATATGTACACGACCTCTTAAAAGTTCAAAGTACAGAGCTATGGGGCAAATCTTTGTGCTCTGTTCTAGCTTTCCTCACATATTGCGCGATCTCCTTAAGGGGCGTTTTCAAGTTCTCCCTCATTGTCTGGTGGCCTTTGATGCCGCCGTTGCCGTTGTTAGTCGGTTGTGTTTCGGCCTCGTCGGCCTCCGTGGTTTTCATCACATTGGCATCGCATTTGACCGTAAACTGACGTTGCCGGGTGATGATTTTCGGATTTTTAAAAGCTTTTTCTTTTGTCTGTCAAAACGATGAGGCTTTCAAAACAAACCGCAACTAGTTTTGGCTTTCTGCTCTGGTGCGCAGGGTAACATCTTGTTCGCTGTCATTGACTTTGTTAAACTAAGGTAGCATTCTCTCGGGTATAAGAACACACAGGGGCAAGCATATCATTTTCATAAACACGACCTTGGGCCAAACATAAAATCCACTTCACTAGACCACTTCATACCACTCTATGCAGTGCACAAGTCTGTGGTGAGCTTATTCTTAATAACCCTGAACCAGTGATGCCTTCAAGGAAAAGCGCCAGAAGACGGCCCGCTGTTCTAAGACGGATCTTTAGGCCGGCTTATCCCACAGCTACCTATATACTACCTATTTACTACCGGTTTAGTACTACCTATTTACGACTACCGGTTTACTACTACCTATTTACTACTGGTTTTACTACCGGTTTACCGAGTCATGTCAAGCGGATTCGGCTGAAGTCAGAGAATATCACCCTCCAATAACTTCCGATATGACGGGGCTTACATTCAAACACTAAATCTGCAGAACACCCGACGAGATGTGACCCTGATATGGAGTTTGCCGGGAGATGCCAAACTTTATAAAGCAAATAATCAAATTCAGGGCGCTGGCTGTCGGTTCAGTGATGATTCGAGAAAAAAACAGAGGATGACGCGGTAGCGAGACCACCTTAAACCTATGCCTCTGTTTTCGACCATCTGCTCTATCCCGCCGATCGGCTCTCCGCGACAATCTTTGCGTAAGTAAGAAAACGCAGGGCATATTACATTGTGCAGACAGCATCCTTACACATAACTGGCTTTTAACGTAAGCCCAGTTCCACCCTCAGCCACGGTTACAGAAGGCCACGGAAGAGCCTTAATGAAGTTAGATGATCCCGTGGTAGCCAACCCTGAATTGCTGTTATCCTCATCGTCATGCCAGCCTCCTTTCTTATGGCAGTAAAGCAAATGAATGTCAAACATCCGCTCTATGCCCCCTTGTCATTGCGCTGAGTTCCATTGTGGATGTAAACTAAGAGGAAAATGAGAAGTAGCGCGGCTGGTTTCAGAATAACCGTCGCTACCATCCATCTCAATAGAGATTTCAAAGAATGGGAGAAATGCTGCCTTTGGCGATGACACGTTTCGCTTGCCAGATTTTATTTACGAGGTCAAAAACTATTTTTTTTGTTTTTTAAGCTGGTTGGCTGTAAGGCACTTAATCCAAATATTGTGCTCACAATTGTTTTGATTTCTTGGAAGAGTGGAGCAGCGCGTCTCTCTTCGCAGTCTTTCAAAACAGCGTTGTCTTTTATTCAAATAAGCGTGCAAGGTGTTGTGCCATACCTCCGTTTCAAGTTTTCAAAACGCAAATCACGCCCTACAAAACATTGACGACTTATTACAGTTCTGACGACAACGTTTCCGCCATTTGCACACAACTAAAAGAAGCTCTTAAATGAAAAATATAATGTCCGAAGCTCACCATCTGCGTGCAGCTCCACAGAGCGCCGCGGTCGACTGTCCAGGCACCGAGAGCTCACCTGCCCAGGTACTCAGCCTCGGTCAGGGTGTCTGGCAACTTGGTGCCCCTGGTCTCCGGCATTAGCAGGATTAACAGGCCAGCGATGATGGAGACCACGCCCAAAACAATGGCCGGTAGATGTATGTAGTATGTCACCTGAAGAGGATACCAGAGCACGTTTGACCCATGACCAGCACACGCTTGACCCGTGACCAGCACACCAGCACACGTTTGACCCATGACCAGCACACGCTTGACCCGTGACCAGCACACGTCCGACCCGTGACCAGCACACGTTTGACCCGTGACCAGCACACGCCTGACCCGTGACCAGCACACGTTGACCCGTGACCAGCGCACGTCCTGACCCGTGACCAGCACACGCCTGACCCGTGACCAGCGCACGCCTGACCCGTGACCAGCACACGCCTGACCCATGACCAGCACACGCCTGACCCGTGACCAGCACACGCCTGACCCTTGGCCAGCACACGCCTGACCCGTGACCAGCACGCGCCTGACCCGTGACCAGCGCACACGTGACCCGTGACCAGCACACGCCTGACCCGTGACCAGCGCACGCCTGACCCGTGACCAGCACACGCCTGACCCGTGACCAGCGCACACGTGACCCGTGACCAGCACACGCCTGGCCCATGGCCAGCACACGCCTGACCCGTGACCAGCGCACGCCTGGCCCATGGCCAGCACACGCCTGACCCGTGACCAGCACGCGCCTGACCCGTGACCAGCGCACACGTGACCCGTGACCAGCACACGCCTGACTCGTGACCAACGCACGCCTGACCCATGACCAGCACACGCCTGACCCATGACTAGCGCACGCCTGGCCCATGACCAGCACACGCCTGACCCATGACCAGCGCACGCCTGACCCGTGACCAGCACGCGCCAGACCCATGACCAGCACACACTTGACCCTTGGCCAGCGCACGCCTGACCCATGACCAGCACACGCCTGACCCTTGGCCAGCGCACGCCTGACCCATGACCAGCGCACGCCTGACCCATGACCAGTACACGCCTGACCCATGACCAGCGCACGCCTGGCCCATGACCAGCACACGCCTGACCCTGACCAGCTCGCGCCTGACCCATGACCAGCGCACGCCTGACCCATGACCAGCACACGCCTGACCCATGACCAGTGCACGCTTGATCCATACACTCATATCCCATCACTCACGCGCGTGCACTCTACCGCGTGCACTCTACCGCGTGCACAAATCACAGATAGTCAGCATGGGACTGCTTTCCAAACCAGCTCGGGTGGACGCGAAGTGATATAAAGCGAGTATAATATCACGGATATCATGTATTATCAAGAGTAACATGAACCTGACATCATAGTCAGGAACCGTTCCCAAAAATGGTTCGCCTTCTCCTAACTTTATGACATCGGAAATGTTTCTGTGCTACTCTTTACTCCCTTACCCTACAGAGAATGTAAAAGAAACATTTAAGTCCCTACCTATGCCTACAATACCTACAACACTTAAGTCCCTCCCTTACCAGACTAGTCTTTTTCTAACAAGGTTACAAAAGCTAAAACAAGCTTTTTTAACGTTTCGGCATGATACGATTGCTGTGGTTTCGACCTTTAAGATACCATGAGGCAGGCATGGACTTAACGACCGACAGACAGGAGAGAAAGATGGGCGTGGTGCTTGTCAGAAAGGGAAGCCAACGGTATCCGATTTTAAGGCTATAACGCGCTAATAAGACTTTAGCATGACTTGCAACCATACTTGGGTGCCACGTCACGCCGTCTCCCGCCCTTGCCGCGCTTCAGTTGCGAGCCATTTAACGCGCCCCCCTCCATGCATGACGTAAACATGGAAAGTTACATACATGCTGTTATGCTATGTTAAGATTTATGGAAATGTCTCCGTTGTTGAAATAAGGTTAGATCACTTTGGGAGTTAATGCTACCCTTTGAAAAGAAAACGGCATCTGCGGGAGTTGTCAGGGTTTGCCGATACAAACATGCTCGAAGAGGATATCACACAAGCGAGTCTTCACCTAGCTCTGGGCATAAGATAAAGAATTTGATTCTCTTTAAATCCGAGATAAAGCAATGCTCCTCTATTATCCCTGAAACAGACCTTTCATCCTCTATATTTGAGGGATGCTTTGTACCTGGAAACAAAGGGGGGCACAGGGTCGACAAAGAGTTCCTCATGGTGAAAGGGCCCGTTCCCAAAAATAACGATGCATCTCATTTACTTTCGAGAGGGCAAGATTTTCGTCTTATTTACCTTCCTAAGTAAAAAAGAATCGAGAAACCACCGGACAAGTAATTCTGTTTGCATTTTGAAGTAACTCAACTGAAGGAGCCAGTCGTTAAGCGGTTGCATCACAAAACCGTCGGGCGCTTTTCATTTTTCAATGGAGTGCCGATTATGGTTGTTTGGGGGTAAGTTTCGTAGTTTTGTAAAGCTTTAAGGGGGGGGGGGGTTCTGCGATGGGGTGCGCGTGCACTCCGCTGCTTCCCATCTGCCGTTGGTGTTTGTGCACTGCCGGCTGTTTTCGCCACGCCTCCCCACAAGAGCAAATTTACACTGAGGAGCCCATTGGGCAGCATAAGAGCCCGATGATGTTACCATACGGGTCGGCGCGTTATGACTCCGTTACACCCGTGGATCGGTACGTTATGACTCCGGTACACCCGCATCAATACACACTCACACATGTGAGCCACAGAGCTGTAATGAAGCAGATGACTGGGGTATTGGGACGGGACGGTAGGCCCGATGAAGCACCATGACCACTATGAGGCACCATCCTTGACTACGGGCTCCAACCTCCACCTAAGGTTGGTTGTAACATTCAAACGGAGCAGAATGTCAGTCAGGTTCATCGATAAGAATTAAACGTCCTGGCTTCAAGGGCACCCCAATGTTGGCAGCGATCCCACGCCACCGACGAATTACAGTGGCAGGGGCCCGCTGGACGTTGGCCCTGGGAGACGCCTCCTCCTTCACTGATCTACACAGACCTCGTGCATTCGACGCCCCACCACGTTCATTCCAATCGTAGACATCCGCTGACGCCCAGGGAAGTTGTACTGCCTAGAGTAGTCTTTTCCACTCAAAAGGTTACCAATAGCTGTAAGTGCACTTATTTCATTACATCTGACGCCTGCTTCAATATCTTCAAGGGTCGGAACATTCTCACTGAAAGTAACGAGTCCGTTACTCCGTGACCCAAAGAACTGCTTTCGTTACACAGCATGGTTGCAGGGTAACGAACCATGATCACCTTGACTGCCATATTTGTTTTAAATTCATTTGAGATTAACGTTCTAAGCAGCTTAGGCCCTAGGTAGGAAACGCTAAAGATGCCATAGTGATTAGCCGCATTCCTCTTTCGTTTGACGTAACTAGCTCCCAGCATGCAAGTCGCCCATTACGTACACTGCGGTGATTATCTTGCAGAAGTTAGGCACTGCGTCAATGCTCTCACCGTCACATGGCCTGCCGGATGTGAACCCTTCGCTAGGTCGGCTCTTTCACATCCGGCCGTGCTTTGACAACTTACCGAGCCAGCAACAAAGGGGGCGATGATGGCGCCGATCCGGCCGCAGGTGGAGCTGGAGCTGACTCCTGTGTTCCGCAGCACCGTGGGGAACACCTCGGCCGCGTACACGTACACGATGCCGAATGACGAGGTGATGCAGAACCGGGCGAGCATCGTCAGCACCAGCACTGGCCAGTCCCGATGGTATGCGCCTGTAGGATTGTACAGAAATGCTTTAGATGCAGACGGAGCTCGGGGCGACTGTGCCGGCAGTTGGAAAGAAATTAGAGGTAATCTGCTCTGTCATCGGAAAGATGAAGACAGGTGACGACGTTCCAGTTAGAATTAAAACGGAAAGTGTTCTGAAATAGTGCTTTCATCTCGCAGTTGGCGTATCAAAACAAACAACAGTAGCATTTGTGCTCACTGGAAATCTCGTTAGTTTTATAACATAACGGGTACGAGGAAAGTGTAACCAATAAACCATCAACGCGAGAATAAAAAAAAAAGATGAACACGGCCTTATTACCAAGGATTGGACTGGTGGGAGCGATCACCGTCATCATACTTTTCAAAAAGTACGAATTTCTCTTGTGTTTTCACGGCAGACAAGTATGGGATCCAGTAAAGGGTCCAGATAAGAAACTGCGCAAATTATAATTAAATGAATGGAAGCCAGATTACAACTCGAATTAAACATACCCTTCAAAAAGTATTCAAGCACACGGTCAACTCGAGGACACGGATGTGTCTGATTTAGACACTGACACTGAGAGTAAAAGTTATTGAATCGAGAGCCAGCAGACTAGATTCGAACCCGAATGTACACCGTCAACACAAAACCACATGGGAGTACTGCGGATCGCCATATAGGTCCACCTAGGTCACATTAGTGTAAAAAAAGATTTTCCGATGAATAATTAAATCACAAGGCACTGATTTAAAAGAATGGATGACAAAACAAAATGATTTCGTGGAATATTCTAAAAAAGACTTGACGGCCGCTTTCTGGTTATTCTTAAATTTGAATTTGTAAGCGTTCTTGCACAGGAGTACATTTAATCCCCGCGATATTCTAGGTTCGATGGGCCGTGAAGTAGCAGCAGGGCCTCAAGCTAAAATATCTCTCGCAATACCGCGCGAAGGTTTCTTCCGATTACAGTCTGGGGTCCCGTTGCACCTCACGGTTCCTTCAATACAGAGCTTCTGGCCAGCCCAGGTGTGTTTTGCTTCGTAGCCTGCTTTACCTTGATCGGTTCGACATTCTGCCCATCCACCTTAGCATCTATAACACTTTTATATTTAAGATTTTTAGACTTCTGAGTTAGATGCGTCTAAACTTGCGGAAACCCTCACGATGCATTTGCTTATATATCTAGTGTGCGTCTAATGCTGCGATTAAATTATCGACCATGTGGTCTAAGTTCACTTTTATAACGATTCATACCGAGCCAATGCTGCTTCAGGTATCTCAAATACACGGGCTAAAGCCAACAGTAGTACTGAATCGCAATATTTGAATTCAAATCAAGTGTGATGCACCGACATTTAGGCTTACAAAAACTTTAACGCCACAAATATACATGGACCAGCCAGCTAAACGCAAAACCATACCTGGCCGGATTCCTATGGTCGCCAGAAGGAAGGCGCCGGTGAGAACCATCATGATGGCGATTGGCCACCGCCTGCCCAGTAGCAGGCAGATGGCGATGCTGAATAAGTATGCCGGGATCTCCACGGCGCCTCCGATCAGCGTGTTCAGGTAGATATCATCACCCACGCCGACAAACGCGAACAGCAGGCCGTAGTAGACGAACACGTTGGCGAACCAGTTGAACCACATGTTGAGCGTGCGGTAGCGCACGGTGGGCACGCGCAGCAGCTCCCAGACGCTGACGTGACGGCGATCTTCGTGCTGCCGCGAGAGATCGGTCAGTTGCCGCGCCTAGTGCACTTCTCGGGTGGGGTGAGCAGTGGCAGCAATCTCAAATTGTGAAACGTCAGCTTAGCGTGCCCGGAGCGCGTGGCCGTTCTTCCTTTGTTTTTACTTCAACCGGTGAAGTGTCTAGGCATACAAAAGTACACCCCAATTTCACTACATCCTTTCATTGAGGACGCGTACGAATAAGAGGTTTAGTTACGCAGGGAAGACATTCAGGTAGCAACAGCTGCTGTTTTTCTGCTAAAGCCTTAGAAGCACCCGGCATTTTTACAAGGCTGCAAGGAAGCGAATGTACCACGCACAACAATGACGTGACTAAAATTAATCACGTTTTGGAAAAGCACATCCTTGAATAACTAATCCAATGCATGTGTGCGCACACATAACTTAGGACGACAAAGAAACGTAGATATCGACGCTGTATTGGTGTTGCACCGACATCTACCAGCAAGATGCATGCAGGAAAGAATAAGAGTAAGAATGGCACAATTAATCGAGCTCTTGTCGTTCCAATAATGCCCCAAAGTCATCCCAAAGTTGAAGCAACATTTCGGTCAGATAACTCCTACGCTTTTTCAGGTGGTGATTGATCTTAAGACATAATAACACCTGGCGATATTTTGGGTGGCGATGTCCACGTTTGTGTCAGAGCCTGGAAAGTTCACGGCAGCCTCGTGGTACGTCTACCATTGGTTTTGTTTCATACCGCTTAACCGCTTAACAACCAATAATGATAGGCTGCTTGTGAACCGCTTAACAACCAATAATGATGGTTTGCTCGTGAACCGGTTAACAACCGATGATGATAGACCGCTCGTGAACCGCTAAACAACCAATAATGATAGACTGCCCGTGAACCGCTTAACAACCGATGACGATAGACTGCTAACGGTTTAGAAGTCTCTTTTGCTAGCCTCTAGTATTGATGTGGCACGTTCTCAGCAGACTGCTGCTGCCGGATTAATGTCTGCGCTGGGTCTGTTGATAGGGCTTGCATGCAGTGCCACGCGCCTCGCGTCCCTGACCGTTTGTGGCTCCCGGTGCGGTTCTATGTCGGTGGTGTAAGCCTTGTTCCGTGCTGGCGACGTTCTCCTTCCTTCTCTCCACATCCAGCGCGAAACAGAAACGACTGGCATTTCAGAGCATGTGTGATCGGTATGAGAACATCGGCCAACATGGGACCGCGTAACCATCACCGGCAGAGGGCCGCAGTGGAAACAACGAGAGATGAAGGAAGCGAAACATGTGCACTTTCGTCAAATCCCACCAGAGAGCCTGATTCAGACATCAGTCCAATGTTGCAGCCCGCGCAGAGAAAATGCTAAGAAAATCCTTGGGATAAGTAAAAGGAACTTCTAACGCATGGCAGGCAGCCGTCCTCCGCCAAAGCATAACGTTTGAAGGGGGGGGGGGGCAAATCATAAGTTAAAAGCTCTAAACCGCCAGCAACCATCCAGACTGTGATACAAACAGCGTCATGCCACAAACACCCTGAGGTCACTCTCAGGACCGAATCACGCCTGACAACGGCCGGATAATTAAATAGGCGAAACTTCGTGTACAAAGTGACACCAGTGACGATGGGGCATTATCAGAATGGTAATGTTAATAGCAAGTCCATGTGTGTCGGTATTTGTCCAAAACATTCCGCAAAGCTATACGAAGACCTGGCGTTACCATATTAAGTGGCCAACAGGTTCTCTCCCCAATCCAACCGGTTTGGCCAGCAAACGTAGCATTAGGCGCACTGTGTACGGTACACGTCGCTTGCGTCGCGCTTGTCACGACGACCACACGTGCCGGCTGCGTGCAGCCGCTGCTGCAGGTTGTCTGCAACTGGCCTGTCGGGCCAAGTGACCGCGTCAGGCCAGACGTCGTCCACGTTATATATATATATATATATATATATATATATATATATATATATAAAAGGCGGCGCACGTAGTCGCACGGAGCCCAGCGACTGCTCTGGCCATATTAGTGCTCAGAGGCTCCCCAGCATGAATGCCAAAGCGTCGCCGCTCACCTGGACTGGAGTTCATTCGGCCCTAGCGGTCATCTCACTCGTCTACCTCGGTGACGCCTCTTACACGAGCTGTTGCAAAGCGAAACTCCGCGTCGCCGCGGCGAACCTACCGGCGGGACCAGCTGCACATCCGGGTCAAATTCCCTGTTGTTGATCTCGCATATCGACTCTACTAGCGCGGATGCTCGCTCCACTTTTCCCGATGCCAGGAGCCATCGTGGTGATTCGGGGACCGCCCTGAAATCACAAAGGCGATCACCTGCACAGCATAGACGCGGCTGCATTGTTACGGCATTATCGTTGCACGATTATCGCACGCTTCAGCATGTTGAAACCGTTTGCGCACCACTTCTCATCTGTGTCTGCTGAATGTTAGTTCGTGACGTTAGTCACGACACGGGATGACTGAGCGAAAACGTGCCCCCACTGCTTGAAATAAAACACACATATTCTGGTGAAATAACTGAGGCAATATTGTTCTCATCCACAGAAAAGCAATTGTTTTACATGTCGTAGTCTCATTTGGCTATTGGAATATATTAGGGGTCAACACGAACCACAGGATGTGCGCGCATGAACCGTGCGCGCACCCATCGAAACAAGAGCGTTAAACACATTCCACCTGACTGCATCCTGAATCCCCGTATCTCTCCCAGATATCCAGCCGCTGCTAAACCGCGCCACGCTGTTACTTGAGCCAGACAACAGCCGGTAACCGTGTATGAGTCGTACTGCAGTGACGTGCTTTGCGCAGCTCTGAGATAAGCAATGAATCAGCACGCACTCGCAGCGTCGCCGTTGATTGATAGCAGACCACGGCCCGATGGCGTTTTAATGCGTCTGCATTGTGTCTGAGCGGCGCCACCGCTGCCCACTTACCGCGGGCAGCTGATCGAGCCCTTCGCTGGCAGGAGAAAATATTAGTGCCGTTCGGTGGGCGCGCCCCTCCGCCGATCGCTAGCATCGTTCATAACAGCATTGGATCGTGGTGGGTCTGAGGTCGGGCCGACATGCCGGAATAACGAAACGCCGCTGCCGCCTTTGTCGGCGAGGGCTGAGAAGAATGTGTGTTTCTTACGGAGTCGCACAACCCCGATCTCATAACCAGAGAAAGGGCGCAGTAAGTAAATTATCAAAGGCTTATGAAATACGTTTATAAGTCTTACAGGAGAAGTGGCCCATGTGACTATGTTAAATACAACACGGTCGGGCGTAATCTGAGCCATGCTTTTATATTATGGCCTACGAATTTGGTAAAATCGAGGAAGAAAATGAGCCTGCACACCTCAAATCCTCCTGAACTCTTGAGCGATTCCTAGGGCAGGTTTCAACTTCGAGCTCATCCAGCCGTGGGTCCAGGGCGATGAGCGCATCAAGCCGTGCGCACCGTGCGCACCGTACAGACCTATCTAAAAGTATGAAACGCCGTTTAAAGAAGAAACGTCCCAACTTTCTGTCTCCATCCGACGGATAATGGGTACCGCTGAAGTTGTGTCAAATCTTACCAGTAGTACACGAAGAACACCACCACCGGCACGCTGATGGCCAGCTGAAGGTGCTGCCAGTCGGTGACGGCAAAGGCGATGCCAGCCAGACTCATGAAGCCGAAGGAGAAGGGCAGTTGAAACAGCATGCCCATGATGATTCGCCACTTGCCACCTATCATCTCCATGCCTGAAACAAAACCAATATCGATCACCATTCACAAATATCGGGTAAATGGCCTGTGTGCATCGGTGGCCATTATCACTTTGTTTCACTTATGCTCTCAAGAAAGTGCACGGCGGCCAGGCGCGGACCGGACCACTGCATGCTATTTTTGTATCACATCATATTTCGCATTTCATCTGGAAGCTTTATTTTTTCACGTCAAGCCTGTGCCCAACGACCAAAAGAACTGACTTTGCCCGAAATGATCCTAAACGGAAGTACTAATTACATGCATATGCATTTCTATGCCACCATAAGCAAGGCAAACAAGCGGGGAAATATTTGAAATTCACTTTGTTTACTATTTCATACTATTGTGTTCAACTGGCCACTGGTGCATACTATCATGTTAGGTGACTCTCCCCATCCCCTCTACCATGATGAGGACCACTCCTGCCATCAGCACCACAATAGCATGCCGTACGCCTTACAGCTCACAAGGCACGTGACTTTATCTTTGGGCTGGGCACAATGTTGCAACGAATTGAGGTTGCAAATATGCGATGCTTCCCAAAGCCAAAGTGCCATTCGAACAGTCACTATGGTGAACGCCAGGGAAGAAATAAAAGCCATAGCATGACAGCTTGCTTGAATTCTCGCCATCATGACCCCATATCTGTGCATATTGCTCCCTAAATGTTACGTTTTAAGCTGTCATATCAGCAGCGTTGCGCAAACACTTTGTCCAACCATTGCACTGTCAACATTACATAGCCACCTACCGGAAAAAGTAAGGCAACTGAAAATGAATACTTTCGTAGTGGTGAGCTGAGAGAATTACAGTATTTTTTTGTTCGGGCGCCTACCTCAAATACAAATTCTGAGTTATTCAGAAGCACGTCAAAAAACTAATGGCATTAGCGACCAAGTCGGATGCGCCCGATCTATGAATCAAAGAACAAAACCGTGGTACGCTTCCTTTATGAACATACCGCGAAAATGACAAAAGAACGACTTTGTCGCACACTTACCGACCGCCCGAAAGAAAAACCAAAGAAGTGTAGTGAGAAAATAGCACGGTAATTTAAAAACTCGAGGACGCTTCATCACCCTCGAGCTGAAACAAATACGCCGTAAGGTAGCTAAAGGCTGGGAAGGCAGCCCGGCCGCCGCCGGTCTGGTGGCATGCCGCAAATCTCGGGAGCCGCATGGTCGCTCGTCAAGCTTTTTGACGAAACTGCATCTAGTGTTGAGTTTCTTATATGTATAGTTCACCCGTGAGGCACAGCGACGCTTTCATTGGGAGATATATGCATCCCTAAATTGTCCTGTTCTGTATGTGCGCGACCTTAGCCTACAACGAGACCCGTACAACGTACTTGCCAATTAATTGTGTCGCATGCAGGTTTCGTTCTTGCTTTCTGGAGTCCTTCCCAGAAAAGCGCACTACATAATTTCGATAATACATTTTCAAGGATGCATCACACTGTGTTTCTGCGATTATGTCTACTTATTTTGAGGATCTTGCATAGCATTTCTGATCCTGACTGGCATGCCGTAAACCTGCTGATGAAGTTACCAAAGGAGTCAAGCTAGAGACGAAAACCGTACATTCCCCTAGCCCAAACACATGTGGGCTACGGGAATCTGATAGCTTCCGATGGCGTGGCCCAAAAACTCAGGCTGCCAAGAGCGGGTCAACCTCCATACTGCCCCGGGCCCACCAGGAGTGGACACCGGTCTGACAGGCCAGAGGGTGCTGAGAGCCGGTCGACCTCCAGCCGGGCCGACCAGGAGTGGACGCTGGTTTGACAGGCCAGAGAGTGCTGTGAGCGGGTCGACCTCCACCCAGTGCCGACCAGGAGTGGACGCCGGTTTGACAGACCACCGGCTGCTGAAAGCGGCACCCACAGAGACCGTGTAGCAGCACTTACTGAACACGAAGATGGCCGTGTATTCGGCCACCACAGTCAGGGCCAGCAGGAAGCGCAGCACTATGTACACCATGACGGAGCCGGAAATAGAGACGACCAGAGCCAGCACGAACAGCACGACCAGCACCGCCAGAATGGTGGGACGGCGTCCGAACCTGCCGGCACAACACGCATTTCAGTCGCCCAGGTACACGGCACGGCGGGAGATAGCGTATTCCTCCCCTACCCTAGCGGAATACGGAATAATTTAAACCTCTCCTAACCCTACCGGAACACGAGATAATGTAACCCTCCCCTACCCTGCCGGAACAAATAATGTATCCCTTCCCTACCCTAACGGGACGGAAGAATGTATCCCTCCCCAAGCCCTACCGGAACACGGGATAATGTGTCCTTCCCCTACTCTACTGGGACACGGGATGGTGTATCCCTCCCTACCCTACCGAAACACGGGATTATGTATCCGACCCCCACCCCACCGGAACACGGGATACTATATACTTCCCATACCATTCCGGAGCACGGGGCAATATACACTTTCCATACCATTCCGGAGCACGGGGTAATGTATCCCTACCCTACACAACCGAAACACGGGATACTGTATCTCTCCCTATCTCCTACCGGAACAGGGGATGATGTATCCCTTCCCCAGGCTAGATCCGCCCCTGCTCCCCTCCCCCCCAAAAAAACAAACAAGAAGTCAGTACCTTCTGTATGGTCTGCTGGCAGACAGACTCATCCCACTCACCTCCAAATATAAATACCAATCATGCCCACCAACCTACGAGATTAAAATGCGAATCAAGTAAGAGGTGTACATGACAAACATCTCCAGAGGGCAGAATTTCGTCATCAAACACTTCTGTACTAGCTGCGTCAGGTCTGTCCCAAGGCTCTATATGGCAGCATTGGTATAGCATGGCAGCATTAGTATAGCCTTGCCAGGTAGCCTGGTAAGTCAGACACTCGAAAGGCTTAGAGATATCATTATTGAGCACCGCCATGAACCAAGAAAGCGGTTAACCGAGCGTTTAAGAGGGCAAAAATGACGGTAGAAATAAGTTCCGTGCTTCAAATTGTCTCCTTCATTCCCTGCGAATTGTTCACGCTTGGGCGCATATCAAGCATGTTTGGGCGGTTGGCGAATTAATCCAATGTATCATGAAACACGTACAAGCTTGCAGTCGGAGCATCTTGCAGAGAAATTGGTCAAAATTTTAAGCAGCAGATGGTACCTCCAAAGGCAATCTAAAAGGAGGGAAGAATAAAATGGTACCACACTCGTATGATACCAAGAAAAACGAAAGTAGCTAAACAAATATAAAGACCGGTACTTTTCTCGCAAAATTTTGTTATCAGCTGATTTGACTTGAAATTTGTTAATATAAGTGTTCAAATGGTGATATTCGTCTTGTAAGTTTAAATTAGAAGACATTTCTTGAACTTTTCACTCCAGCATTTCGGGAGTGATGCAATTTAGTGGTCAAGTTTCCCCGGGAAAAAAGAAATACGTGGAGTAAAAGTGTCTATCAGGCCTTGCTGTTGTTTGCGCCAGGCTCTGCTTTCGTGGTGTGGCGGTGAGACCAAAAAAATAGGGGATGCGTGAAAACCTTGCATTTGGCGCACAACTGTAGATTGTGATGCATTTTGTAAACAAACCAAACTGAATGCGTGCAAGCGGCTGGGGTCGCTGGGATTCTCGGGCTTGGAGGCACCTGGCGCCCTTGCTCTGTGGCACCCAGGTTCTGTGAAGCATCGTTTATGCTTGGTGGTTTCAAGTGAACTCGGTTTTGGATGACATCTGAAAACCTCAGGAAGGGAAATATGGGTTTGGCATGTGCGATTAGACACTGTCAGGCGGGAGTGAAAAATTCACATAACATATAGGGAAAAGGAGTGAAAATTCCTCCTCATAGGGGGTTGCTTTACCCCCAAAGTCGGCAATTCTAGGACACTGTGTATCCCTTACCAATTCTACCGGAACATGGCACTGCGAGTTAATGCGTCATGGGCTATCAGCGTGACTGTTTTGGGTTACGTCCAGGGGCCTACGCAGGGGGCGGCATAGGGGACACGTGTCCCCGGCCGACAAAAACGGCTCCAGTGGAGGGACCGATTATTATGGAGTCACGGTCGCTTTGGTGACCTTAAAAAGTCTCCTCGAAGAAGTCTGCACGTTTTCACGGGCATGTAGCTCAGCAACAGGAAAGGTATAGGTCTGAAGGGGGACAGGACTGTGAACTGCACCGAATGATCTGCACCATGCGCATGGCTGCGCAGCACCGCTTGGGCTCGGCGTGCTCTGGTCCAGGACGGGTCTGGCCGGGGCGGTTAGTCTCAGCAGGCGGCACCGCGTGCGGCCCAAACAGACCATTCCAGTGTTGCGAGGTGCTCGCCCCCAGTGGAACAGATGCGTGATTGGTCTGTAATGTGACCACGTGTGACCTGGTGGCGGTGTGTCGAGCAGGAAAAAGTAGCCTAGCGGCAAGCATGACGGTCAGAACCATGAGAGTGTGACCATGGCCACCAGAAGGCGCCGCCACTGGAGCGATCGCGCAGTTTGCAAACCTCAGCCAGTGACGTTATTGTTCTTACCTGTCGGACGCCATGCCTCCGAAGAACACTCCGACCAGGATGCCCGCCATGTAGGATGCCTTGATGGGTCCCAGAAGGTAGCTGTAGTCGCATACCAGGCTGAACTGGGAACAGTTCGACAAAGGGCGGTCAGCAGGTTTTACAGGGACCAATGCTATGGGACATATTCGTCCTGTTCCTGATTTGCAAGTGTATCACGATAAGGCTTTATTACTCAGACAACCGCCGCATGGCAAACACCTTTAACATCCAAAAACTGACTGGAAATCGCTCTTGGAAAGTATGTGGTTCAGGATTCGAGGCACCCGGCCATTCAGCGGCCGGCCGGCCAATTTTAGAACACCTCGATTTAAGGCTCCTTCCTTTTGAGAGAGGCCATTTAACTCTATTTACAAAAAGACACGGATATTTTCGTGAAAAAACTAACCCGCAGACGTGGTGTCAGTCGGAAGCCTGTTAGCCTTGTTGACGAGCCAAAAGTGCACGATAGTTCGGTTTAAGCTTATGCATTTGTTTACTGCGACCGAATAACTGTAGGTCGCATCCGACTCTATCACACGTGTCGTAAAGGGGCTCAACTCGTTTTTCTTCGCTCATTTTACTGCACCGAAGACGGACATATGTTGTTTTACTTCAGTGCTTGTTGCCGTCTGTATTAAGGCCCGACGCATCTTTCAAATGTTCCAACTGAGCCCACCTTTTTACTAACATAACCACGTCTAAAATGCTACTGGGATTCATTTCTGTTCTAATGCCGTGTTATGTGATTAACATATCTTGGGCATCTTTTGCACCTTCTTTGCACCTCCTTGAGCACCAAACTATTCAGACAGGAATCGAACCGCCTGCGAGTCTCATTTAGCTTTCAAACGGGGCACGCTTTAAACTGCCGACACTCTTTCGCACAGAAAATGCCCGGAAATATTGCTAAAAACGAAAACATCAACAGTACCGTTCCAAAAAACAAACTTCCGTCCCACCTATCAGACAAGAATTGAGTCGTCTATCATTAGCATTTCATTACCATTTCCAAGGGACTCATAGTGCATCAGAGTCCCATGTGACCGCGGCCAAATTCTCCTGGCTGATCCAGCGCCGAGTCCTGATGTAGTTTTACGCATTTCAGTCAGGATCAAATCGGACCAAAGGGCACTAGGCAGCTCCATGCACTTTCGCAGAAACCTTACGGCCAGAGGACCCTGAGCGTTCAGAGCAGTAGCTAAGTGGAGCCTATTGAAAAGACAGGGATTCCGGAGTTGCCTCAATTGCAGTTTTGACCCTTTCCAGCCCTTTGCCTTCACGCTGCACGACCCGAGACGAGTCATCCCATGGGCAGTCTGGACCCACCTGACCCTCGTCTTGGATTCCCCGGGCTTCGTTTTGGACTCCTTGCGACCCAGGTTCAAGATAAATGGCCCATGAGGTTTCGGGGGCTTAAGGGAGGGTCCCCCGTCTACGACAGGATCTCCATTCATGCTCTGAGCTGCCGGTGGGCCCCCGAGGAGCCAGTAAGGTTTATCAGCTGTCAGAGAGCTATTGGTGGCCAGGGACCGCTTTGGGACAGGCCACTGAGCGGATCGAGAGGCACGGAAATTAAGAGAGCCTTGGACGTTAACTCCGTGGACCCAGAGGGTCCCTGAGTTATTGAGGCGGCCCACGAACAACCAGAATAGCCTATGAGCAGGCAAAAGGTTTCTTGGGTCGAAGGGGCAGCCAAACGTGCCCTGAGCAGCTAACGCGACCCCGGGTGTCCAGGGGCTACAGCGTGTCGCACGAGTGCACAGCTGAATAACTCTAGCGATGAAACAGGACACTGAACGGGTCAGTGGGCCATGGGAAGCAGAGCGGAACCTCCTGAGCATCTAAAGAGAGAAATGTGTTACTGCCTCAATTTTTCTTCAGTTTCAGTTCCAAAGAAACTCTTTTGGAGCGTTTTTCATTTGGCATGGTTAATTTTCTTTGCGATGCATGAGCCGAAAAGGGCCGTCTCAAAGGTCAAACCCATATCAAAGGTTTCTAAATCCCCGAGCCCCACAGGGTCCCCAGCCATGCTGTTTTAGTTACTTCTTTTCATGGCTCTTCAAACAGTTGTTTACTTCTTTGTTGCCGAGCTTAGTTACACGCTTGAGCGCACAAATATAATCCAATCATTCTCCGAGTTGTCTATGCAGACGCTCTGGTGCAACTGATGCAAACAATCGCTGTAATGAATGAATTAGTATCATGATTACACTGCTGGCCTTTTGTCTATTTTGCTGTAAGGCGCGCATGTGGTTCAGGTTCAAATGAAGGCAGTGGCGGATGTCGCGCGTTGACAGCTAGCTATTGCGCTTGAATTTGTCAAGCACCATCTGCTTTCTGCAATCTGCCTTCCGACAACATTCAGTGTGTCCATATTGCTCAAAATATGCGACGTCCAAACCACAGGGACTTAGGTATTGTGAGTTCTTACGTGGTAAATAAGCGATTTTTGGTTATACCAGATACTAGGAGGTCCTGATGAACAGGCATTCTCAAGAAAATATATACATGCATACAGATGTGCATGCATCATAAGCCACGACTTTCCAGACGACAATTATCGTGACCAGAGTGAACGGCAAGCAAACATTAACGTTCAAAAGCCTGTGACATGTGAAAGGCCAAAAAATATGTCCTGAATCTGTGCTAACCGACGACAAAAATGTATAAAAATAGCAAAGCCCCCATATCGTAACAGCCGTTATGAAAGAGGGTTGATGTTCGCACGGCGAATTCCATGAGACGTTTAGTGGCTGATTTGGTCGGAAGTTATGCCTTTCAGCTATCAAGGAAAAAGTGATGCTTTGCGTCACGTTTAACCCAAAACCTGACCGGGTAACAGCTTTTGGTAAAACGTCATCGGATGTGTCAGATCTCACTTGATCAATGAAACCCCGAGATCTCCCCTGACCCCAACTGCGCGCCGGTAATGATGTTCCGGCAATGATTTTACCATACTTCCGACCATGGTCATGTTGCCCGCTACGCTGACGTAGCCTAACATGACGCGAGATTGCCCTGGCGTGCCAGAATACTGGTTTTATACAGATCGTGATTTTTCAGGAGATTCGCGTCGCTCGATGACAGAGTCGCATTAAGTTATCTGATTTAATGCGGGGCCACTGACCTACCTTCACCTAATACGTCAGAGATCGGTGATCCGTCTTGACTTAAGACGTCAGAGGTCAACAGATAGCTCAATCGAGCCTGGTGAAGCCCGCTGAATGAAGTGGAAACGGAATCCAGGATAACTTACTAAGCCTGCGCATCGCATATCTGGAACGATGAAGAAAACAGCCGATGCCTCGTGCAAGCCCTTTAGGATGACCTTATCCCTGTGACCTGTATACCATCTGTCCTGAGACTTCTCGCGACACCGGATGACCGGCGCCTGATGCCCATCAAGTCAAGTGCCGTGTTCTGGTGATAGCAGACGGGTTCATGGCAAATCCCCAGAGCACAGTGAATGCCCAGTCTTCTCACGTGTTCTTGAATGGTCCATTCGTAGAAGCTGTGGTCAAACTCCCAGCGGCCGTCGATCCGATAGAGCTTCGGGCAGGGCAGGGTGGAGTTGGTGCTCCGAGGCGGCAGGCTGTTCGGGTCCGGCGGCGCCGTCGAGTAGTTGAGAGCGTACACATGACACTTGTCCCACTGCTGGAAGCCGGACTGCCAGAGGAGAAAAATGAAAACTTGCATTTCTTCTCGTGGTCACCTGAATCACAGCGGCCGTTTGGTGCTTCTCGCATCAAACACCAGAGCTTTTACTTTGAAAGCAACAGGTCCTCGAAGCATTTGGTATCGAGCTTTATGGATCTCTAAGTGAACCCAGCGTACAATGTTGGGGTATTGGCAGTTGCACAAGGCATAGAGTTCCCACAAGTGGGAAACTTACTTTTTCCCCTCACAAATCAAGTGACAAATTATCTGGGTCTCAGCAGATGTCAATCAATGAGGACCATGACTAGCATTACTCGAAAAACACTGCTCTTTGGCCAACTGGCGCTATGCTCATTTTGCAACGACGACACAAATTCGCCCATGTAAATAACTAATTCATAAAGAAGCTAGATACTGACACCAATTTGACAGTTCTTTCTACTTATAATGAAGTGAAGACATCACCCAGCATTTCCGTTAAACTCCTTTTGGGTCTGCGTTGCGCAAACATAATGGTGCCGACGTCGGATCAGCATAAACACATTCGGGCACAGTGACACAAGCCAAAAACCTCAGCAGGCACGCGCAGTGTCGCACAGGTTGCCGAAGCAGGGGTAATAAAACGTGTACAAATCCATACAAATGTAAAACACTCCCTTTCCAAAAATTTCCGCGCACGTTCTGGGTGGCAAACACAATGGAGCGCTGCTCAAATGGACGGTGTATGCCAGTGTTCGTAGATAAATTTACGTGCAGCTTTATTTGCGTGAAGCTGAAAAAACATCGTCAGGCTTCGTTTACAACAGCAACAGGTGGGTGAGTTCAACAAAATGAACGTTCTCGCACTTCAGCGCATCTAAATAAACAAGCAAGCAGTTTAACTTCTGTATGTAAAGTGTAACGTAGCTAGGATTGGCAATAGTTCGTTTGTATCAAGTTGGTGTAAACTTATGCCCTTCAAATGTTTAAACGGTGGTGCAGCGCACACCTATGAATGAGCGGCACAGATTTTGAATCTCATCAAATAATCCCATCTCATAAAAGAGTTGCATCGTCCCGCCAGAGCTCCATGGTAGGGATGTAAGCCTCCTGTGACGTTTAGGTGGGCCAAGCCATCATCACCGCAGCCCTTCACACTCACAGAGTCGGCGACCCGCGGCGTGCTGTACTGTCTCCATTGCTCGACGGTCCAGTTGGAAAAGGCGGCGGGCCGCTTGCACCAGTGGTCAACGTTAGGAGGGGCGTGAAACACTACCACCAGCAGCTGCCAGGCCACCGGCACGCCTGCAATAAAACATCCAATGTATGAGGGTTACCGTTTTACACGCCATCATGCCTTGGGTCAAAAGGCGCCTGAACACCAGCACAACCGCAGCGGACCAAGTATGCTATCCCACCAGAATGGCTGGCAGTGAAAAAAGACCACCAGTGCACATAGCTATTTCACGTGCGCATATTTAAGGCCATCAACACGCAGGCAATATCCCATCATCGCACCTCACATGCGCTGTCATAACACTTGCACGTAAATTGCATGCATCACACGCGTGATACCAGATTACCACGCATGACATAAGTTACCAAAATACCGGCACACAAGAATACGCGACCGGTTTACATGCGATATGTCAGCATCAGGCATGCAGCTTACAATGAGTTCGCATGTCTTGGAGCACTCCAGCACACCTTTCACATTTGTACCAGCGGGACACGCGTTCATCGAGTCAACATGACACGCTCAGCCAGCAAACTACACGCCCTTCCCCTCTGAGGTATAGCCAACACTACCTCAACAAGTTACCACTCAATCTCAGTCATCTCAGCAGGCACTTAACAAACCACAAACATACCTTCAACAAATCTGCCAGTTAAAGGCGCCGCGTGAATTCTGCCTCGGCGCCGAATACGCGGGCCGACAAAAAATACGCGATCGGCTTAAACCAGTTTTTTTCTTACGCTTTGACTTCTTAAGACTGGGACTCGTCCACAAGTTGGCAAAAGATGATAAATGAGCATGTTTGTGAGAAAGAAAGGACCTTAGATTCTGATTGTTTGGTATTGGTTCGATCCTTACAGGATGCGGGGCTCGGAATATTAAGTGGCGCCAATATAACCGCTGTTCAGCGCTTTAAAGACGTTAGCAAGTACTTTCTGGCATATCTAAGGTAGATGCTCCGGAAGCTGACAGGTGAGCAGATTGAGGCTCGTGTCGATATTTTGGAGAAAAATGTCCTTACAGATAGGGAGGGTGAGCATCCGTGGATCGTACCGTCATCAGCCATGGATAATAATTCTACTATTACCACCAGAAGGCGAGGAAGAGATCCAACAGAGTGAGCCCACTGTGATTCGCCGTCTTCGGAAAAGTGAACCCCTTGTGATTCGCCGCCTTCAAAGGAGTGAACCCACTGTGATTCGCCGCCTTCGGAAAAGTGAACCCACTATGATTCGCCGCCTTCGAAGAAGTGAACCCACTGTGATTCGCCGTCTCCGGAAAAGTGAACCCCTTGTGATTCGCCGCCTTCAAAGGAGTGAACACACTATGATTCGCCGCCTTCGGAAAAGTGAACCCACTATGATTCGCCGCCTTCGAAGAAGTGAACCCACTGTGATTCGCCGTCTTCGGAAAAGTGAAACCACTATTATTCGCCATCTTCGAAGGAGTGAACCCAATGTGATTTGCCGCCTTCGAAGAAGTGAACTCACTGTGATTCGACGCCCTCGAAGAAGGCCGACTGAGATAGGTAGTCAATCGGGAAAGGTATTTCCAGGGCCTCGCACATTGCTATGCTGCATACGCATCAACGCATATAAGGATCTAACTCCTCGAAAGTGAAGAGGTGTGGATCTATCAATGTAATTGTGTGGGACAATTATGTTTAAATTATGCTGCAACGGCAATCGTCCTGTCGTTCTATTTTTTAGTTCTGGGCTGAGTTTCAATCCTGTTCACGCCTCGCAGTCTGGCTGCACAATCCGCTGTAGGTTCGGCGGTCCTCAGCTGTTGCGAACCACATGCGCCACGCTTGCATGCCTGCATACCTACATGCCTGCAAATGCATGCAGGCATCTACAGGCATTCAGAACCTGCAGCAGGTTATATGCCCATTCTACTAAGTGTGAACGGGCCTTTAGGACGATGCGTTTTTTTCAGAATAGCTGTGCAGCTCCCATGGGCCGCACCGGACACTACTCTGGGTTTGTTGTCCCTGGTTTGCCGTGCTTAAGTTGACCTGCTCACAAGGTCATAATGACCGTCATTCTTGTGCTGCCAGACGTGTCACGGCTCCGTGCCATAACTGCCACAGAGTTACACGTTGGTTTTGGCGACGCGCCCTACGCAGAGAGGCTTGGCGTACGCTGTTCGACAGCGTATTTCGTTGCCTGGCGGGACGCGAGAGGCGAGGCACGTCGTAGCGAAAAATGTTCAGGGCGGCTTGCCTGCAAAGAGGGGTGACAAGATGTGCGACTCTGCCGTCACGCTCATTACCTCCCAAGCGTGCCACCGAAGGGGATGCGCACCCTCGCCCGGTCCACCTGACGGCACCAGCCTCCCATCGCAGCGTACCATCGCCAGATCACCGTTGGGAATGATGACCTGGGTCAAGATATGTGACGCCGTCCCTGCGGACCGTCCTTGGACCTTCAACATCTTGAACAGGATGCATTCCGCACTTGATTTAAAAACTTCCGTTTTTTTGCCTTTTTAAAATCGTCCAACGCTAACATCGTGAGTTCATCAAACCCACTGGAAACTGAGATTGAGCAAAGTATATCTGTAGCTATGGAGTGTGTGACGTGACCGCATATGCTTTGAATAGTACGTTGAGTTTGTGCCGTGTGTTTGTACAACTGGGAAAATCTGCACGGCATATGTGTTTTTGTGATGCGGCCGTTGTAAGCTGTGAAGTGCGCCGCAAGTTAATATATAAGGCATAAGCACATCCATATATTTTTATTTTTAAAGATTTAATCTGGACCCTTTGAACGGAGTGCTTTCTGGGATCAGAGCTCACGCTAAGCAGTGCTTATGCTATGAGCCCCAACTTTTACCATCCGATCGCGCAATTCCAGGCAACGACATAATTTAGTAGCAAAAGCTTAACGCACCGCAATCCTCGGCACGGTCCGTCCTGCCCTGTGTGACGTCATCTGACCCTTAGCGCGACGGCTGTCAACGGCCGCAGCCCATACCTATTAAAGGCAAAAAACGAGCGCTAAGCGACTCGAACCCATCCCGCCACGGGTGAGTGGATCGGCAGGTAGGCGATGTGACCAACTGGGCACCGGGACGGACCTTGTATATATACATATATATATATATATAT